AAATCAGAGGTTTATTTTCAACACCCAGAAGAAAGAAAAGGCAAGCTGACACTAACTTGCACGAACTCAATTAATGAACTTTACAATGTTTCCACCATAAGACCAACATCATAATTTGTATCAGCATAACTAATAAGCTTCGAGTAGAACCACCTCTGCAGAGATACTCAAAAATCATAAATGGGAAATTACCTTGGCTGATTATATCTCAGTCGCGTACAATCGTGTATAGCAGATAAAATTTATGAAGAAAAATTGCTATGAGTGATCCTTCTACAGATCATCATTAGTTAAAGAGGCTCATGAGAATAAGTCGAACATGCTCATGTCACAAAAAGGGGTTACTGCTAGGAAGAAGACTCACCATTCCATTTTTTTATTTGCGACCTTTTGAATACTGAATCTCCATATGTGTACCTCTGAAGTGCATGCAAACATCCTTAGTTAGCCAAGGAACTAGAAAAACAAAAACTAATAAGTGAAAGTTTTCCATCAATGAAAAACATACTTGAACACTTGCGGTGCATAGTGAAGCATTTCATAAGCTTCAACAGCAAATTACGTGCATTATATTTGACCAAAGCTTTTCCCCCTTCGAAAAGTTTAATTTCACTTATATCTTCAAATGGTCCAAAGAACAAGTGCAATTCCTCCTCTGAATGGAGTTATTTTGTCCATCATTAGGCACTAATCACTCATCAACTAAGTATTAGACACCAAAGAAAATATGCAAAGTATGATTGCTGGACAAAAGGAAATGTCATTCACCTCAGTAGTCCCAACATATGGAAGAACTGTAATAGATGTTTTTTTGAAGGTGCCTCTTTCTCTCTAAATGTTGTAATTTATGAAAATTATAAATAATCTTGTTGTGACTCTTCGTTCCCATGAGCTTCATGCGAAATCAAAGGTGGAGATTCAAGAATGAAGAAGTTTGTTTGACGTTGAAGTTCTTGAAACAAGGAAGAAAAAGAGGTTCAAGTACTGTACTGGGAGCCGCTGAATTCATGGGAATATATATTTAAAACAGATGGTTCAGCGTAGGAACTCCCGAATCAGATGGTTGGGGTTATGTGCTAAGAGGAGTTAATGGAGGCTTCATCAGAGCAGAAAGTTGCATATAGGAGAGACATTTAGTATAAAAGTTGAAATAGAAGAAATATTTCAAAGTCTACAAAGAACATTGGTGTGATGAGCAAGGGCTTAGTAGAGTTAAAGTCTAAACAGGCAGTAAGGTGGTAGTTGTTAGAAACTTTCTTTATGAATTTAGAGTCTAATGGCATGGATTTTTAACTTATCCATCAGCACACTAACTAACAAATCATGCAACGAAATATGAAATCTAAGCATTACGAACCAAAAATGTACAAAAGATGTTTTAGTGAATGTAAAACAACATAACAAATATACTCAAGCAAATGCCCCAATCCCTTGCAATTTGTTTCTTTTCTCAAAATTTAAAAAGATTCAAATGTCTCAAAAACGACCAACACCTAACTCTTGGTACCCATTTCTCTCACAAGTTTACAATGCGGGTTAGACTTCTCCCCTTTGACCAACTAAGCCAACTCAAGGCATTTTCTTTTTCTTTTCTACTCTCTCTTCCCCACATAAAATACAACTCTTCAAGTATTTATAAGCACATGATTGACAACCCCAATCATTTTTTTTTTTTAAAAAAAATAAACTAGAAAGTTAGGATGACTTTCAGGTTCCAACTGGTATAATAATACTCAAGGGGTATACCGAGGAGATATACAAACCCAATCATCTAGGCCAATCAAATTACAAGTAAAGTAATTGTATTTCAAGTTACTAAAATAACAACCAACTCTTTAGGTAAAACTGATAGCAATGTCGTAGACGAACCAAATTTCAGTAATGGAACCATGAACAAGAATGTATGGAAAAGATGTTTAGATGTGAAACTCTAAAAAAATGTGAAAATATCACAAATAAATGAATATTTGATACCGAAAGAAACTACCTTATGAACTCAAACTCAAGTCATAAACACAAAATCCAAATAATCACTCGAATTGAACATCGAGTCACATGGACTAAACCATTCAATATTATCGAACAATCGCTTATATAATTGTTGGCACATGCAATGAGTAAATCACTATTCAACAACAAACAATACTATTCAAATAGGACAATTCACAACCAAGTAACTAGCATGTAAAAAAGAAAAATCGACATGCTATTTTCAAACACACCTATCTATAAAATACACAAACTCAACATGGCATCTCATGCATAAATATTAAAAGAAATTTGAATAACACAAACTATAGAAAGCTATAACCAATCGATAGATATCCAATTTATAAACAAGACTATTAGTTTTGAAACAATTAAATCATGCAAAAGCAAACATGATAACACGGTTTTTCCTCTAATATCAGCTCCATTATATCTCAAAGATAAAGTAATTGAGTAACCGTACAATGTCTTCAACACAACGGAGAACACTCCATTGTAAGAAAACCATCAAATGATGATATTTCATTAAAAAATTGTAAGACTCATAAAAGTTTCGATTCTATCTTGACACACTACATTGGAGTTTTGGCCATGCCTTTATATAGGCAAGTTTTTTTGCTCTCCAAGAAGTAAATTTAAACTTTAGGCTAAAGAAATGAAGATATTTCCTATTTTTTGTCTATTCCCACTAGTGGGAAGGAAAGACGAAGGCTACTCCGACTCAAACTCTTAATTTAACTTAACTTAGAAGTAAAGTAGTAAGCCCTACTTCTGTTAATAACAAAAAGACTCTAATACCCTTAATGATCAGACTTTAGGGTTCGGCCATTAGGCTTTATTTTTAACCAAAGTAAATAAATTTATTGACTCTAGGTAAATAAAATTATTATCTATTCACGGACTCTTTCAACTATCAAAGTGATAAAGACTAAAACACCCTTGTAACACACCATTTGGCCGTCCTCCCTTTGATGCTCTTTGTCTATATCTTCAACTTCGATGTTGAGACAGATATGATCACAAAGGACACTAGCGTTGATTTCCATAACATCTAAACTTGAGCTCACACTTGAATCATCACTAGTATCCCAATTTTCAGCAAAGCCATCACTTGACTCATTTCATACTTGAGCTTCACTTTAATTATTAAGTGACTCTTCCTCATTTCCTCCTTCAACAGTTTGAGATGAAAGCTCCCACATTGAAGGCCAAGTCCTCACAGCAAACCTTCTTTTGTTCTTAAAAGGAAACAATCTTGATCCTCCAATTAACAAAAATACTTTTGATTCATTCAATTTAGAAGAACTTCGATAGGAAACTCCATGATTCTCATCAAAAACTATTTTAGTAACTAATGAAAAAAAACTTTCTAACTTGAATCTAATCTCTTTGGCTATATGTTCTTAGCCATTCCTAATTCATGACTCGAACCAAACAACCAAACAAGTGTTGCCAAGCACAAAAAACTCGTAGAAACGTCATAGGACAATTTTATCCTCGTAAAAGTAGTCCAGCTGCTAAGCAAAGGTAAAAACTTCCCATGGAGATATATTACAATGTCAAGATTTTTCCACTTAACATAATTTCAGAGAAATAAATAATTTGGTCGATGGTGGCTTTTGATAGTCTTCATGAACTTCTTGCAAAATTGAGAGGTATATTGTACTTGGATCAACAATCCTTTCCGTACCTTAGAATAAATAGATAGAGTAGACTAAGTTTTACACAGAGACAACATAGGATTTTCGTAGATCTTTGTAGAGCAATCTCTTGGGTAATTTATAGTGTATTCATGGGAATATTTGATAATCTTCGTGAGACAGTCTCTTAGTCGATAGAAGAATACCTAAAATTTAGACCTTTTATGGAATTATTAGATAAATCTTTGTAATACAGTTCTTAGCATAAGCTTGCAGTCAAACCGTCATGAAATTTCTTGGAAAATATTTGTACGATGATTCTTTTTTCGTATAAATCTTAAGCACTGCCTTTTGTGTCTTTGTTTTTTAATTAATAAAATCAGGGATGCCCATCAAGTACCATCCTGGACTTTTTCTTCAAACAATAAAAAACCATATTAGAACTTCAAATAATTCATCAACTTTTCATTTTGATATTTTTTTTAGAAAAAAATAGATTAAGGTTTCTATGGAAAAAGATGGGAAGAAAAATATTTTATCTCTCTAAAACTTTTCTCTCCAGCTTCTCTCTAAAAAAACCCTAATATTGTCCGAATTTTATCTTCTATGGCGGGGGTGCCCGATGGAAACTGGCCAAATCCACCAAATCCACCTTCCTTTGTGCTAGTATTTAACGTCACAAAACCAAATCCACGTTCCCTGATCCATTCAACAAGAAAAGCATCAAAAGAAGATCCTTTCATCATCTCTTTTCAAGGGAGAACTGGCCTTCCTTCTGTATAAAGAAGAGGATGACAAACTAGTGGCTCCTTTCAAATATTCTCTCATCGGAAAATTCTCAAAAGGGAGACCGAAGATGGACTTTTTATGGCAGAATTTTCGTACGATTGAATTTCAAGGTAATAACTCTCTTGGCATGATAGATCACTGGACTGTGGTCGTTTGGAAGAGGATTTCCACCGTTGTTGGATAAAGGGACTATGGTCGTTTGATAAACACATTATGCAAGTTCTAAAGTAGATACCACAATTCAATCCGTCATATGAGGCATCTATAGTGCAGGTTTGGGTTACTTTTGAAGGTTTGCCAATTCATAGATTTAACTAAGAATATCTCAAAATTTTGGCGTGTATTATAGGCACTCCCCTCAAAATTGATGTTCCAACCCTAAATCTATCAAGACCCTCTAATGCCAGAGTGTGTGTAGAAGTTGATCTGCTTCACGAACTTCCCAAGCGCATTCGTCTCGGCACGGAAAAGCATTCTTACTTCCAGCAAGTAACATACGAGAATCTCCAAAAATATTGTCTTGAATGCAAGAAATTTGGGCACCCGGCGAAGGACAGCCATCATGGAAAACCAAGAATTCTGATGGTTAAAACGCCACAAGCTAAACAAGATAAGCAGCCTTCAGCAACAGTTGTCAGTAATAGCGTATGGAAGTTAAAAGAAAAGCTGGAGGAGCTAGCAAAAGGCGTGGTTCTTGGGAACAAATCATCTTCATCAAGACTAACTGAAAAGGAAAAGGAACGGATTTCAATTGACGTGGAAGATAAGAACACGTATGTGATCAGGGGTTCATCCCTTCGAAGGGATTGGGTGGGCTTCCATCCATTTCTGTACAAGAACTGGAACATCCAGTTCTGTCATGTACGTGCTGGAGTTTCTTCTCAACTCTTTGAAAGCCCTGGTGAATATAATTTAGGATGTGGACCTGGAGGTGGCTCTTGAGCAAGTTCTGTATATCCTCCGGAGCAAATGGCACACCTGTTTTGTCATTAGCATCGTTACCAATACTGGTAAATACCAGCTTTTAACCTTCTTGTCTGTTACACAACGGGTTAATTGCTGTCCCAGGATTGTTCCTAGATCAATTGGAGTGGAAGTATGGATGGCATAGATCAATAATGCCCTGTCGTAGGTGACTCTGGTTGTGTACTTCGTTGGCATGATATTGGAGTAGATGAAGGGAATTGATACACCACTCCTACTCTATCCAGAGACCATTTGAAAGTTCCATCTTTATCCTTGCAAAGCTCTTTGATAAGGACATCAACAAAAGTTGCATTCTTGGTAGGTCTTGCAGAGCTTTCTCTAGATCTATCTCCACTAGAGGTAAATTCCATGCTACTCGAATTGCGGTGGGGTTGATGTCGACATTCCTACCTTTCACATATACCACATCACCTTGAGCTTCCGTCAAATTGTTGTAGAATTCTCTAACAACGTTCATTCTTGGCTCGATGAGAGGGTTTGCAAGTTTTGTCCACCGGTATTGGGAGATCCTCTTTATCCACCCCTCTCTCCACTATGACTGGCCGATTACGGTTAGTTTTGAAGTATGCCCATGCAGCATCAGATACAAATAGTGCTGGGTCTCACTCTGTTCTTAGATCTTTCTGACCTACTTTTTGTTGAACGGCCGATGGCTGTGGAAGTGGTGTTGGTGGTTCTTGCATTACTCCAATCCCTAATTGACGGATTGATATTTTTCTTGCCGCAACTTTTTGTCATGGAGCCATCTGGGAGGAATGTTGATTTTGAAAGAAGGTTGGATGGAATGGACTGGGAATTTTCTTTGAAATCAAGGGTTTGTGAAGGTGGGTGTTTATGAAGGAAGGTGGGAGCGGATGTATATATAGACTATCAGGCTTTTTTTTTTTTGTTATTCCACTTTCCCCCTTCAATTTGAATGGAACCCAAATTCAGGTCAGAAGAGTGCGGCTGACTTATTCTGAGTCACTCTCGTAAGTGAGTAATTCACTTGCCCGATTGTCTGACAATTCCTTCTTTCATTTTCTTATGAAATGCTTCCTGATTTTGCTGTTTTGATCATTATATCATAGCCGGCAAAGCACTTCATATCAACACCTGCACAATACACCTGAAATTTTTTGATAAGGATGTTTCCACCCTTTTTGAACACTTGCAACAGATTGAATTAATTAACAAAAGATTAATAAACTTCATATAAAAAGAACAAAATAGATTATCTTGGGTTGCCTCCTAAGCAGCGCATTGGTTTAGAGTCCCATGCTAGCAGTGGCGGAACCGAACTTCTAGTTTCGGGGAGTCGAACTGACATATGATTTTTTTCTTTTTGCATATATGTAATATATTTTCATGATAATGAATTTTATGTTAAAAGAAACATATAATATTGTATTTAAAACATTGACCGAACAATATGGGCTGATAAAAGAAACATTTTAAAGCTTTAATATGAGATGGGTCCGGTTGAAATACTCTAAAACTACATACACCATTTTATAATTATTGATAGTTATATTAAACTTTGACTTTTCCAAATCTTCTTCTCCATCAAAATCGGCTGTAACTTCCCTACTACAACTTTGCCGGTGGTACCCATAAAAAATTTGAACAATTATCTTCTGAGTCTCTCCCTTACTCTCCTTTAAATTGAGCTCCTTAAGTCTTTTTCTTCGGAAAATTGAGGGGGAGCTTAAGGGGTGATTCAAAACCGGCTATTGCTCTAGCCATAGAAATATGATGGGTACCCGGCCGTCGGGGGGTCAGCACCATGCTGGTTCCGCCCCTGGATGCCAGACTCCTTGATGTTTTCATTCTGGTTCCTTGAGGTACAACACATCTTTGTGTTGTATTTCTGCTTTTTGCATTGGATTGTATGGCTTCAACCTCTGTCCATTGACAAATATTGTACTGCCATCTTCCAAGTTAGCTAGTCCTACTACTCCTTGATTCAAGATCTTTTTTATTTCAATTTGACCAGACCACCTTGACCTAAGTTTAGCTGCAAACAGTTTCAATTTAGAATTATACAATAACAATAACTAACCTTCTTACAATTGCTTTTTTCCACCAATCTTCTATCATGGTAGGCTTTGGTCCTTTCCTTATATATCTTGGATGATTCATAAGCATTCTGCCTAAATTCCTTCATTTCATCCAGTTGCAGTAATATCTTTCCAATCACAGCTTCTGTTTTATTGTTTAGTTCCTTGATAGCCCAGAAAACTTTGTGTTCCATCTCAACATGCAGGTGACAAGCCTTTCGATAGACTAGTCTAAATGGAGACATGCCTATATGGGTCTTGTATGCTGTCCTATAAGCCCACAGAGCATCATCAAGTCTGAATGTCCAGTTTTTTCTGGTGCTGCATACCACCTTCTCCAATATTCTCTTGATTTCTTTGTTGGACACTTCAGCTTGTCCATTTGTCTGAGGATGGTATGGAGTGGACACTCTATGTTGAATTCCAAACTTTTTAACCAGAGGTGAGAAGTTTTTGTTGCAGGTGTGTGATCCTTCATCACTGATGATCACTCTAGTAGTACCAAATCTGGTGAAGATATTCCTTTTTAGGAATCTGATCACAGTTTTAGCATCGCTGGACTGCATAACTGCTGCTTCTACCCATTTGGAAACATAATATACTACTAAGAGGATGCATATGTTGTTGCTTGATGACACAAATGGTCCCATGAAATAAATTCCCCATACATTAAACAACTCTACCTCCAGCATTATCTGCTGAGCTAGTTCATTCTTCCATGGCATATTTCCTGACCTTTGACATCTATCACAACATTTAACAAACTTGTTAGCATCCAAAAATAAAGTAGGCCAGAAAAAACTTGATTGAAGAATCTTTGTAGCTGTCCTTTCTCCACTAAAATGGCCTCCAGAATTACTTTTGTCTCCCCTGCTGGCATGTATCTCCTGATCAGCTGATCAACACAGATTCTACATAGGTATGGTTCCTCCCAAAAATATGACTTGGTTTCATGGAGGAACTTCCTTCTTTGTTGCCAGTTCAGATTTGCAGGAATGATGTTACCTACAACATAGTTAGCAAAATCAGCATACCAGGGCCTATTGTCTGTCACCTGGGCAAGTATCGCCTCCACTCCCTAGAGTGTCTCATCAGGGAACTTTTTTTAAATTGGTTCAAGATGTTCTTGCTGTCCTTCTAGTCTTGACAGATGATCAGCCACTTGATTTAAAGCTCCCTTTCTGTCTCTAATTTCCAGATCGAATTCTTGCAGAAGCAAGATCCATCTGATCAACCTGGGCTTTGAATCTTTCTTTCCACCAAGTACTTGATAGCAGCATGATCAGTGTATATAGTCACCTTTATTTCCAGAAAGTAGGACCTGAACTTATCAAAAGCAAAAAAAAAAAAAAAAGCTAGCAATTCTCTTTTAGTTGTTGAGTAGTTGACTTGAGCTGGATTCAATGTCTTGCTGGCATAGTAGACCACATGGAAGACATTGTTCCTTCTCTGCCCCAGCATAACTCCTACTGCAAAATCACTGGCATCACACATTAATTCAAATGGTTGAGATAGTCAGGAGTGATAATCGCTGGTGTAGAAATTAACTTCTCCTTTAACTCCTTGAATGCCTTCATACAGTCATCATCAAAGATGGAAGCTGTATAATTCTCCAATAGGTTGCACAATGGTTTGGAGATCTTGGAAAAATCCTTGATAAATCTCTTGTAAAAACTAGCATGGCCAAGAAAACTCTTGATTCCCCTAACTGATGCAGGATGATCCATTTTTTCAATTACTTCAATCTTGGCTCTGTCAACTTCTATTCCATTAGAAGAAATCTTGTGACCAAAGACAACGCCTTTTGTCACCATAAAATGACACTTCTCCCAATACAAGACTAAGTTATCCTCAATGCATCTTTCTAAAACCCTTCCCAGATTGTGGAAATAATTTTCAAAAGATTTTCCAAAGACAGAAAAATCATCCATACATGCCTCAATGATGTCTTCCACTATGTCTGAGAATAGTGAGATCATGCATCTCTGGAAGGTTGTTGGGGCATTACACAAGCCAAATAGCATTCTTCTGAAATTGCAAAGGTGCCATATAGACAAGTGAATGTTGTTTTCTCATGGTCCTCGGGTTCTATTACAATCTGATTGTAACATTAATAATCGTCAAGATAACAATAATACATATAGCCTGCTAATCTGTCCAGCATCTGATCAATGAATGGTAGGGGAAAGGGATTTGTTCAGCTTCCTATAATCCATGCAAACTCTCCATGAATTGACTACTCTTGTTGGTCAATTCATCTTGATATTTCTTGATAAAAGTCATGCCACCCTTATCTGGTACACATTGAACAGGACTTACCCACTTGTTCTCTGATCTAGGATAGATAATGGCAGCCTCCAACAACTTGATGAACTCCTTTTTCACAACTTCTTTCATTGTTGGATTCGGTCTTTTCTGTCCTTCAACGGTTGGCTTTGCACCAGCCTCTAACAAAATTTTGTTCATATAAACAGAAGGACTAATACCTTTGATGTCTGCAATAAACCATCCAATGGCTTTTTATTAAAATCACCCTAGTGGATCCCACTTAAATGTGGGTAAAACCCCCCTTACAACCACTGGTGGGAATCGAACCCTGGTTTATTACCAGGAAAGATACCAACCTAACCACTAGGTTGTCATTCAATTCCCAAACCATCCAATGGATGTCGTGTGCATTCTGATCAATTTCTCATCTTGTGCTTCTGCGAGGGATGAAGAGATAAGGACTGGTAGTGTGTCATTTTCCCCCAAGTATGCATATTTCAGATGAGCTGGCAAGGTATTCAGTCCAATGTGAGTGGTTCTTTAGTGGATAAATTAAGACATTTCCTCTCTTGGACATGTCAAGTAACTCAATAGGTTGCTGTTGAATAGGATACTTGGGCGAGTGATCAAGGTAATTTGTCCAAGTGA